ACATACGGTGTTCCCTTTGTCATCGGTATGTTACTTGTCCGAGATTCGATTGTCGGTATCTCAATACCTAGTTCAATCTCGTTACCGGCAAGTCTCTTTACTCGTTCCGTAATGCATCATCTCACAACTAACTCATTAGTTGCAATGCTTGCAAGGCTTATGTGATGTGCATTACCGAGAGGGCCCAGAGATACCTCTCCGACAATCGGAGTGACAAATCCTAATCTCGAAATACGCCAACCCAACATGTACCTTTGGAGACACCTGTAGAGCACCTTTATAATCATCCAGTTACGTTGTGACGTTTGGTAGCACACAAAGTGTTCCTCCGGCAAACGGGAGTTGCATAATCTCATAGTCATAGGAACATGTATAAGTCATGAAGAAAGCAATAGCAACATACTAAACGATCGGGTGCTAAGCTAATGGAATGGGTCATGTCAATCAGATCATTCACCTAATGATGTGATCCTGTTAATTAAATAACAACTCTTTGTCCATGGTTAGGAAACATAACCATCTTTGATTAACGAGCTAGTCTAGTAGAGGCATACTAGTGACACTCTGTTTGTCTATGTATTCACACATGTATTATGTTTCCGGTTAATACAATTCTAGCATGAATAATAAACATTTATCATGATATAAGGAAATAAATAATAACTTGGCACACGGTTTAAGTCAGACCAATATGTGGCTCGGTGTCTTTGATATGCTAAGGTTTCATAGAAACTTACTTTCGGCCTCACCGATTAGTACAACTCGGTGGTAGCGAGACTTACTAGTGCAATGGCCAAGGCCAAATCGGTGACTCCGAAAATTTCAAACCGGTCGGTCCGAGATGCATTCTGCAGAAACTTAAACCTAAAACTTTTACTCGAATCTAATCTAAGGAGTTTGATGAGGAATGGATATTGCAAACTATGGCATGAATCATGGCGCAAACCGTAGTGCATTGAATCAGAAATTGAAGCATGAGGGGATCGGATTTTACCCTAACTTGGCACAAATCCTCTACGACGGCAATGGAGGGAGAGATTCCAGTTGATGGTGACAGAATCCGGCGGCGTGGGCGTGCTAGATGCAAAGGCGAATGTCCAGAGACTTGGCGAAGGCAGCTGTGGGGCGCAAGGTCGAAACGAGTCAAGAAATCTCAACTGTACGGTCTCGCTGGATATATATACCCATCAGCTGTCGGTGGCTCCGACTGAAACAACTCGGTGGCATCGATATGTGTAACTGCTGGCAGTATAGAACATCAGTGACTTCGAAATGGTTCAACTCGATGACACCAAGAAGGAAAACTCAGATCAGTCTAAATAGTTTCAGTACGACCGAATGACAGTGAGTTGGTCCAACCAAAATCATTCAAAAGGTTTTGGAGTTCAGTCCTTGCCAGATCGGTGGCTCCGAGTGCACCTCACCCAGAGGGTCTGAAAAAGACTTGTTCAATTTTCGTAATGTAGCAAGAATAGAATTTGAGACAAGAAAGAATAAATATCTAGAGAAGGTGCTTAGGCATCTTGTACATCCACTTGGCGAGAAAAACAAACACAAGCAAAACAACAAATGGATGTCCTCGAATGAAGAAAACATGCATGCCAACATGCTCACACAATAAGGTAGCAAATGAAATATGTGCCAAACATGCACAACCAATTCTAGCAACTATCAAGCAACGGGCGATGACTAGGTCATCTATATATGAGTATATTGACTTAGGAGCCAGATAAAAACATTTGATCATAGGTCATACTCATTGTTTAAGCACAAGTCTTAGAGCAAAGCTCCCCCTAGATGTGATATCCCCTAAAGAGGGATGAACTAACCTTGGGTTTTGTCGATGGTGACTTCATGTAGATGTTGAAGATGTGGATGCTCAATATTGATGAGGATCATCAAGAGTTGGGAGCAATCCTTTGGATTTGGGAACTTTCAGTAACTACATGGATTAGTCCCACAAGGATATCCATAGACATAGAGTGGAATACACATATGATGATGTCCATGAATGCATTGAATATCTTGTCCTTGTCTTACCAACAAGAGGGTTTGTAACTCCACGAACTAGTGCAAGATGTTGAAGTTGTTTGCACAAGTCCTTGCCAAACAGAATGTGAGTGAAGTTTGTAGGCGGAGTCACCCTCAAGAACACTCAAGTTCTTCTTCTTTGGGATCCACATCAACTTGATGGGAATTCTTGGAGTTGTGGTTGAACTTGATGTAGAGCTTGATGAAGTCTTGGGAACCCACTTGACCATGGCTTGAGGTGCTTCTTCAAATGAGTCAAACTCTTCTTGAAGCTTGTCCTTGCCTTTTAGCTTGTGGTCTTGTGGTGGAAGATCATCTTGAGCTTGTGTTCCCTTAAAGGAAGTTGGGTCATACTTCTCTTGTTGAAGAACAAACTTCGTCTTGGGATATTGATCTTCTTCCCATTCAACTCCATTGGCATTGAACTTTCGTTCAAAACCAATACCTTGATTCTTCCGGTGTCTTCCTTGCTTGCGTACAATTTCCTAAAATTGCTTACTCCTGGCAAGACTCTTGTAAACACCTTTCTCTACAATTCCCTTCAATAAACTATTTTCTTGCTCAAATGTAACTTGGCTAAGAGAATCTTTAGTGGAATCAAGAGAGCTACTAGAAGCAACAATATTGGTTTTAGCATTGTTATTGTTACTACTAGATGAAGAATTCCTACCTCCTAGGAGTCACCCTCACCGAAGAACTCCTACCTCCTAGGAGTCTCCAACCTCCAAGAGTAACAAGACAAGTGCCAAGGATCCAAATCAAGCTCAAACACAAGGTGACTAGTCAAAGCGTGGGGAATGAGTGGATCTTGCTTTTGATTGGTGGTTTCCCTTTGAATCTCTCCAAGAATCAAAGGAAATAGGGCTTGGGAGAGTAGGTGAAGAAAATGTGGCGGCTATGGACGAAGTATGCTTAGAGGGTAGCCCTATTACTAACTGAGTTGGAGTATATACGGTGGAGCTTCAAATCCAACCGTTACAGCCCAAGAATGCACTACCGGACAGTCTGCCAAATCATGTAGCCCTAGATGAAACAGTCATGTAGTAGAACTGAATATAGGGTTTGTCTAGAACAAGGGAGAGGAATTTGACATGTCGGACAATCTGGTCCAGGGGACCGAACAGTCCGGTCTGTCTAGGAGAGAACACAGTTCTGTGAGCAAGCAGCCAGATAGTCCACTCAGTGGACCGGGCGGTTGGATGCCCCATCGATCAGTCTAGTCCGGAGCACGGGACAATCTGGTCGATCAAGTGGCAACCACCGTGTTGGCATGGCTAATTTGAACTGTCGGACACCTGGACCAAACAGTTCGGTGGTGCACCTTTTTCAGCTTGGTTATTTTGATGTCTCTTTATTTGGTGGCTATGATATATGTGTGATCATATGAGTGGATGGTTGAAATGTGAATGAGCTTAACTTGTCACCTCACTACTAGCCCCCCTTAATAATGCAAGATCCCCATCAAGGAAAACAAATAGGCCGAAAGACTACCCTAAGCCTTCGAGGATCCACAACTCGCTCCTTAACTTCTAGGGGGACGACGATCATCCATCAACCATCAACCATGGACCTAATACTTGAGATATACTTGTGAATTGTGTTAGTCCAACAACATGTGTGTCATCAACACCAAAATTATCTTAAGTGCTTGATAGCACTTTCAGCAAACATGTGTCGCTTTGGTCCCTCAAGATTGGTCGACATAACTTGTCTAACACACCTCGCATATGGACAATGCTTCTTCTGCTCCCGCTCCCACGAAGAAGTCATGCTAGCCGTCGCCGACCACCTTCATGATGCATGAGTCCCTCTGACCGAGTCCAACTCCACGACGCCCCCAAGAGGAAATACGGTGTTGAGCAAAGCCACTAGCGTAGTCATGGTCGATCCGTGAGGCCATCCTGCCAACCACCTCTACGACACACAAGCACAACGTCAAATCTTCTAAAAAAAACACAATGTCACATCTCAACCTTGCAAAGCACGCAGCAAGGACCCCTCCACCACAGGCCCACAAAAACCTAGATCAGACCCGAAGCCACTACACGCGCCTCTTCACCAAACCCCCTCACGCAGATAATCTCCAGGCTCACCCTATAGACGGTAAGAATCGGTCGCCTACCCAGCAAATAATCTCCTCCCGTCTTACCTACATTTGTTCCATAACTTTTTCTTGAAATATATTCTGGTGGGGAGTCTTTTCCCCGGTGACAATTAAAAAAAACAGAAGAATGGACTTTCAGCATTTCTCATATTCAAATTATCTCCACAAGACTGAAATTATACCTTAGTTTGTCAGAATTGACCTACTATTGAACAGAGACCTTTTAAGTTCAAAAAGGATTTAGAATAAAGCTATCGAGTCAAAATAATTACTTGGTTCTCATTCTACAAGGCGGGAGAAAACTAGTGCGTCTATAGAACTATCATCAGTATCTCCTAGGTAGAATCAAATCAATGCAAAGAACACGGCTGTGCTGAAACTCATGAGACTACTTTCTGCTGAAGTTACTGCCTACATTCACAATGGACACCAAAAACTGGAACCAGCCACAAACCCATTATACAATCTACCCCATTGTTCCAATGCCGGAGCAGCAAATAAAGCAATCAGTCTCGGCTATAACCATGTATACATGCCCCTACCAAAATCATTTTCTTATGTACCAGCTCTGCTCTGCACAAAAGAAGCAACATCTATCCTAGTGGGGTCTATCACACTCAGGACAACGAAATCAGCATGCTTGCTTCGTTGTCAGGGAGCAGGCAAGAGGGAAAGCCTCAAAGAATATATCCTTCTGCCAACCACAGCACCGACTGTCAACAAGTAGCAAGTAATATAGGCCTTGGCACACAAATAACCATATATTTGACAGCATTTCCCTTCTGTTGAGGTCACTTGGCCTCTTTAGCATACTTTCTCGGATGAGGCCTTTGTCCCGAGGCTTGCAGCCCAGATGGAAGGTTTCTCAATTGTAAATCTTCACAGGCTTCTCATATGTGTGTCGATTCTGCAGTCACCAAGCAAAGGACAGTTAAAGGACGGGGCAAGTCGGCACAATAGTTCATGTGAATTTACAACATAGTAGGTCACCTTAGCTTCTAATAACACACAAATTAGTCGTGTAAACTCTACGCATGGACAAAATCACCCCCAGCTAAAGCATTTGTCTGCATGCTCCCTTGAATATTGACGTTACATAATTTCTTTTTTAAAATACAGAAGTTATTTCTACAAATAAATTTGAAGTGTGTGCTTCAGCTCATGTAATATGCGTGCACTAGGTTAGTCTTATGCTATCAGAAACTTTTCCATCAATTAAGGTCTCTTGCAAAAGTAAATAATAAAGGCAGCTTCAAGAAAACTATTTTCCCTTGAGGATAACTATGGGTGAGAGCCAGATGTTTGCTGGAGTAAGAAGTCAAGACAATAAAAACTTTCTAAGGTCTGAAGGTACATGTTTAAAATATCACAATGGATGGGAACTGGCCATTTATATGTGACTCCCTACCCAAGACCTGTACTGTGGCAACCACCAGCCCGAACTGGTAAAGGAATATACTAGACCAGAAAGAGGTGCTTTCATACTAATTAAAATTGTAACGTTGACGGGGTTTTTGACATAACGTAACCTTGACGTTGATGCTTGTGTAACACGAAATACAATAACACTTCAGAAAAAATAGCAAAATGGAATAGACTGAAAAACACCATTTACTGCATATAAGCCTAGATCTTTACTAAATCTGGTTTTGTTTAAATATGCATGTTTCACCGACAAAATTTGAGAACACATCAAAACTCTTTTTTCTTAAGTATTGCATAATAAGCCAGCACTGCCTACCTGATTAGCTGCGTAAGACCTTTTGGGTGTTGTGTCAGTATGCTCCAAACCAAGGTATTGTTCCCAAGCTCCATAGACATCTCTCCTCTGTAAGATCAGAAGAAAAACCTCATCACGTGAACATATTTAGACTACATGCTAAAAATAACTACTTGCCTGAAAGCGTGCAGACACAGCATCAATATCCTGGAGGTATTCTGGACGATTCATGGATATGAATGCAACCTTCCACTGATCAATAAGAATCATCGGGGTCAAAAATGCATGTTGGCAGAGGAAAATATTATATTCACTAGAACCATGCACAATCACGATGGGAGGAAGATGCGGGGATGCATAACCCTGGCAGGAATGACCGGGTCCTTGGTAGCCTATGCTTGCTTGTGAGCTTCTCCTAGACTCATTTGAACTTTCCCTGCCTTTTGGATAGTTTATTGTTAGGTGTCATCGGGTTTTCACCCCATATCAAGTGTTTCGATGAAGGGCACTTCCAGTGGGTTTCCTGGCGATGCGTTGAACTCACTTTCCCCTTTCTTTGTTTCCTTTAAACTTGGTCGGTGGACGGATGGTTTTATGTCCCTTATGCTTATAATGGAAAGGGGTTATGCCCGGTTCAAAAAAAAAAAAGGAATGACCGGGTCCGGCTTAGAAACTTAACCCATGGACCAAGTCGTAATTTTTTTGTTCAAAAGCTGATCATCCAGTGGTTATCTCAAAAACACTGATACGTGACTGGAGCATCGCACCCATATCGGTACATATCTGAAACCGATACGTCCCCTATACATGTTGGATAAGTATCTTTAAACT